TTGTCAAAATGAGGTAATGAATTATTATAGATTACCATATAATAATACTTATATAATAGATAAAATATTGCTATGTTATCTTATTTAAAGGGGACAGTAAATTATGCTGTAGTATTATAATTATTATATACTATATAAAAATACTATTACATTATCTTATTTAAAGGGGGCAATAAATTATTCTATAGTATTATATAATAATTATTATATACTATATAAAATACTATTACATTGTCTTATCTAAAGGGGGTAATAAATAATTCTATGTTATATAATGCTAATTTTATATTATATATAATATTATTACATTATCTTATTAAAAGGAGGTAAGAAATGCTCCTCTCTCTCCCCCCCACTGCTTTATCCCTTGTCTGTTGCCAGTTGACCCCCAAGGCGGGGGAAGGCTTTCCTCCCATGCCCATCCAACCCCACTCCATTGCTTCAGACCAGCACTAGGCACCATCCCCAAAGGGAGCTAACCAGAAGCTACAGATAAGGCGATGATTCTGCTGTGAATGGTGATAACCAGACTGCGGAGAGCTGCCCATGTCCTCAGGGTGGTTGTCAGCACAGAACTGATACCACCAGGTCATCAGCAACTGCCGAGAAGCTCCTCACCTTAGGAGTGGTGCATGGTGTAGACTGTGCCCGGGTGCCTTTCTTTGAGCTCTAGAAGAAGATGGTGGCTGCCTCCCGGTGGTCCAGGCTATAATAGTCTCCAGGTCCTTGTTCCGGCCAGATCTCCCAGTGAGTGAGCCCCTGCTGGGGCTGTTAAGGGAGATCAAATGGGGAGGGGCCGGGGGAGAGCCCCTGAGCTCCAGCCATGGTCCAGAGGGGGGGCCCAGAGCTGGGCTCCTAAGAGGCAGCTGAACTCCCACCCTCACTCAAGCCTGACAGGTACAGTCAAGACGGTTTATCTGGCTGAGCCCTCCTTGTGGATTTAGAGACACATTCCCTCTCCCTTCTGTATTTTTATTTTTATTTTTATTTCTATTTTTGTTTTCATTTCCTGGAGTGCAGCCTCTAGGATTTAACTCTGCCTGAGCCAAGTGACTCCCTCTTCTTCCTCCAATCTGGAGAGCTCTAAACCAGTGAGAGACTTCAGACTGCTTTAGATGGAGGATTAGGGGTGTGTGTGTGTGTGTGTGTGTGTGTGTGTGTGTGTGTGTGTGTGTGTACCCTAAATGTGTTGAACACATAGGGTTTCATCCTTTGTATTTGCATCACCAGTGCCCAGCATGGTGTCTGGCACATAGTAGGTGCTTAATTAATCTTTGGTGAATTCTACTGATGGCAGAGAGAGCCCCAGAAATCACATGTACTGTAGCTTAATTGTGCTCATTTCCCCAAGATCCAATTTAATTCAGTCCAATCCAGTAAGCATTTAGTAAGTGTCTGCTAGGTGCCAGGCACTGTGCTAAGTAAGCCATGGTGTTATGAAAGCAAAAAGGAAACACTGTCTGCCCCTCGAGGATTCAGTGGGGGTGGGACTTGAAGCATGAACAGGTGAGCAAACACAATACATGTGCACTATAAATACATATGTATGCAGAACAAAAGAAGGCACAAAAGCCTTTGTTTCTGCCCCCTCATTCTTCTGAGGAATTTTTGGTTTTCTAATTCAATTTAGTACAATATAAAATCCGAGTATTTATTATGTGCAAGGCACTATTGGGGGAAGGGGAGAGAAGTACAAAAAAGAAGTCCAATAGACATTTATTAAGTGCCTTCTGTATACCGGGCACTGTGCTTGGCACTAAGGATACACAGACAAGAAGGAAACAGCCGCTGCCCACAGGGAGCTTACACTCTGTTGGGGGAAATGACGCATACACAGATGAGTAAACACACGGCATATACAAAGGCTTTGTAATTTTTGTTGTTTTCATTTCCTTTCTCAACCCCTCTCCTACTCTCCATCCCCTCCAAAGTTGGCAGCCTTGTTCACTATCCTAGTCTTCTTAGCAGGTACTGGCTTCTCAATTCAATTCAATACAACAAACATTTATTAATCTCCTACTGTGTGCAGGTCCCTGGTCTTCATGTTAGAGATACAAAGCTGAACAATGACATAACCCCTGCACGCAACGTGCTTACAGTCAAATAGGGGATTTGACAGATACACGGATAAATATAATACAAGTTAAAGGACTAGAGAAGCAAAGCAGAGACCCAGGCAAAGTCCCTGGAGGATGGAGGGGGCAGAATTAGGGGATGGGTACAGGAAGGACGTGGCAGCTGAGCTGAGCCTTTGAGGAAAGGAAGGAGGGTCTCTTCCAGGCATGGGGGACAGCAGGGGATTGCCAGTCCCCCTCGCCCCAAAGCATGCATTTCCCAAGACGAGCAGCTAAAGCAGAGGGGCTAGATGTCGTTGGGGTGCTGAGAGAGTGGGAGAGAAGACTTTCTCCATCTCTCTTCATCCACCATCTCAGGAGAAAAACTGGTTTGGTTTGGTGTTTCATGCAGAGGAGAAATGAGGAAGAACTTTGGGGTCACTGGTCCAGCCCCTTCCCCCAGGTCCTCCCAGCCCACTCCTCCAGCTCTTGGTGAGGCCTGAGTCTGAAGCCAGCCAGAAGCTTCCCAGCTGCTCCTTGGGGAAATGGTGGATGACAAAGCCAACCGTGTATGTGCAGCATAAGGAGATGTGACTGGAAGGTTAAACGGAACATTTATCCAATTGCTTTCCGTCACTCTCACCCAGACCTTTGCTGGGCCCGCCCTCCCGAGGTGGGGGTTCGGACATATTCCTGGTTTCTCACCATGGCTCCCAGTTGACTCAGCATCACCTGAACCCAGTTTTATCTGGGTCTTATGTCCATAATCCTCCCCCCAGCCCCCCATTAACTGGTCTTGTCTTGGCTGTGTTTGTTGGCAGTGCCTGGAGTATGGAGGGAGTGTCAGGCACTTTTGGTTTCGGTCATCTCCTCCATAGTGGGGGCAGTGCTGACCGTCCGGAGCTGCCCCACGGCAGCCGGTTTGACCGAGAGCACCAGACGTTTGCGGAAGGTCTCACAGAGCACGATGTAGACAAAGGGGTTGAGGCAACTGTTGGCGTAGCCCAGGCTGATGGCCGCATTGTAGAGGTAAATGAAGGCCAGGGTGGGGCGACTGATGGAGAGCTGGGTCAGCTGCAGCACATAGTAGGGTGCCCAGCAGACAAAGAAGACCAGGCAGATGGCAATGGCTGTGCGTGTCACCCTCTTGGTCCTGAGCCGGATGCTGCGCTGAGAAGCTGGGGCCACTGAAGACGTCATCCGCTGGAGGATCCGTGCGTAGGCCACTGTGATGACCACGAAGGGCAGAGCAAAGGCCAGAAAGAATTGGTACAGGGTAAACCAGTACAGGTCAGTCTCTGGGTTGGGCAGGCGAATGCCGCAGCCAACAGTGTCTCCAGGGAAGGGGATAAGTCTGGCGTAGAGCCACACTGGGGTGATGCTGATGAAGGAGAGTGCCCAGAGGAGGCCAATCACCAGGGAGGCCACAGAGGGCTTCCTGAACTTGGTCGAGGAGATGGGGTGGACTGTGGCCAGGTAGCGATCAATGGCCATTGCCGTGAGGATATAGGTGCTGGTGAACTGGCTGTTGGCATCCATGGCCGTGATGAGTGTGCACATGGTTTCCCCAAAATGCCAGACTCCGTTGCCCATGAGCTGATGGATCATGAAGGGCATGCCCAGGAGAAAGAGCAGGTCGACCACGGAGAGGTTGATGATGAAGATGTCGGGGACATTGTTGCACCCGTGGAATTTGGACTTCTTCACCACGGTGAAGATAACCATCGAGTTCCCCACGATCCCCAGCAAGCAGATGATGCCAAACACAGAAGGCATGATGATGTTGACATAGGATACTCGCCACAGGCGTGGTGGTGAAACTGGGGACAGAGAAAGCATGCTGCTGGCACAGCTGGCACAGCCGGCCACTCACGTTCTACAAATCAACAATACACCAGTTTGTCTCACCCCTACCCCTGCCTTTCCCCTTACTTCACTCCCAGGTATTTCAGTGCTGGACCCAGGGTACCCTTCTATCCCATCCTACTTGGCCCCCCACCCCTCTCTTTCCCATCCTGGTGTGTGTGTGTGTGGGGGGGGGTCCATCCGTTTAGACCTGGCTTCAATTTCTTTCTTTATGACTATGGGCAAGTCATTTAGCCTTTATGCACCTCAAGCTACTACCTGGGAGACATCTGATACAGCGGAAAGAGTTCTGGATTGGAGGTCAAAGAACCGGGGTTCAAATCCCAAAGCTGTCACTTACCTGCGAGACGCCGGGCAACTAATTTTGTTTCCCTGGGCCTCAGTTTACTCATTTTAAAAAAGAAAGCATTGGACCTGATGGTCTCCAAGGTCCGTTCCAAGCTCTAAATCTGTGCTCTAATCCTTTCGAGTCTAAAACACGTTAAGGTTTACAAAGCGACCAGACGTGCCTTCCCTGGCCGGCCGTCCCCAAGACATGTGGTCTCAGCTTATTAGAATGTAAGCTTCTTGAGGGCAGGATTCTCACTGTTTGTATTTGTACCCCGAGAGCTTAGCACAGTGCCTGGCACATAACAAGTGCTTAGTGTATGTCTTTTCATCCACCCATCCATCCATCCGTCCGTCCGTCCGTCCGTCCGTCCGTCCATCCATTCATTAATTCATTCATCTTTCCAGTAACTCCCAGTGCTGTGTCCTCACATCGGCTCAAATGGATCCCCTTTTCTCATCCTGCCATTATCCCCCCCCCAACCTCCAGCAACAAAAAAGTGGACGTGTGAATTTCACCAGATTCTCTCACCACCTGTGAAGGGGTCCCCATCTTTACCTGCTGGATTTCCTTTGAAGGTACACAATGTCAGGAATGTGGCCAGAAATGAACCCATGGAATGTGCCTGTGAACGACAGATTTCACCCCCAGGCTCCTCCCAGGCTAGTGCCATGAACCCTTTCCTTCAGTAACTAAATGGGTATAAAGGGTTTTCTCAGAAGCGATAGTTCTGAGCCCCTATTTTCTTATTTTAGAGCAGCTGTGAGGAGAAGCTGTCTTATGCTGTCTGGGTGGCTTTTCTCATGACTGCTATCTAATGCATCAGCCAAACTGAGCCCCACTTAGACACAAACTCCACACACACACGGACTGACACGCATGTACACATGCATGTACATGCATGGACACACAGTCTTCCTCATCTAAACTGTTAGCACTCACTGCCCTTGGGGCTCTCTACTAGTCACAGTAAAGACTGCAGCCCTCTCTTTGACGTCCCCATCATTGGAATTTCCCCCACTCTCCACCTTTCCTTCAGTCTGACTCCCTCTCCCAAGCCTCCAGCCAAGCTAGGCTCTGACCAGCTCAGCCCCAGAGCCAGCCTGGCTCAGGAAACCTTAGAGGGCCCCAGAAACCCCAGGGCTGCTGAGGCTCTCCCTACACCTCAGCAGTGAAAAGCAGGGAAGTCAGAACACCGGGGTTGAATCCTGGCTGGGTCTCTCGCCAAGTGGGTAACCTTGGGGCATGTCACTTCCCCTCACTTTCCTCTTCTGTCAAACCAGAGAATTTGGGCTCCATGCCTCACAAGCCCCTTCTAAGTCAAGGTCTCTGCTTCTGTCAAACTGGGGGGCATTATCATTCCCTTTCTCTCAGGCTGTCGTGAGATTACCTCCCTGTGACCCTCAAGGGCTCTGCCATCCTCAGTTCTCCTACAAGAATCCCTTCATGCCTGCGTCTCCCAGCCCTACCCCCCCCCCCCCCCCTCCCACCATGGTGCTGCAGACCCCACTGCTGCTGTCTGAGGAACAGAGAGTCCCCGGCAGGGACGAGGCTCCTTTCTGTTATTCCCTGTCTTCCTATCCACTGACTTCTCTCTCCCCATAATCCAACATTGAGCCTGGTGTTCTCCCCCTTCCCTACCCCCTTTGGCCCATGGGGGAAGAGCGTCGCCTTGCACACGCACTCACACACTCCCTGGCTCCAGGGCACACCCCTCTTCTCTCAGTCCTGCCCTCCTGACCCTGCTTTCTCCCCTGTCCTCGTCTGCTTTCCCTGCAAGTTTTAGGAGAAGTCCAGGGGATACCTACAGTTCGGAGAATGATGGGTGCCTGGATCTTCAGCTGGAAGGGACCTCAGTCATCATCTCATCCACCCCGCCCCCAGTTTTACAGATAAGCAAACTGAGGCCCAGTGAGGTTAAGTGGCTTGCCCAAGGTCACGCAGATTCATAGGCTCATGGATGTAGAGCTAGTAGGGGCCTCAGAAGACATCTAGGCCAACCCACTCATTTTACAGAGGGGGAAACTGAGGCCCAGGGAGGGGTGAAGTGACTTGCCATAGTCGCAGAATTAGTAATCCCACCTTTCAGGGTGGGTTGAGCTTAGGTGTTCTTTCTGCTGTCCCCGCACTGACCCCTTCCTCCCTCTATCCCCCCCCCCCCAGAAAGTTTCCCGGCCAGTTTGGTCCTGAGGAAGATCGCTCCTGTCTCCCATTCCACCAAGTGCACGGCGGGCATGAGGGCAGGGCACGGGGGAAACCCCAGCCCCCGACTCTACTCACAGCCAGAAGTGAGGTTGCCTCCTCCAGGCTCTGAGGTGTTGCTGTCATTGGCGGCGAGGGGCAGCAGGGCTGTGGACAGGTCCATCCTTCCCCTCCTTCTGCCTTCTCCTCCGGCTCCTTCTGCTCTGACTAGCTGAGCTCCCCAGCCACCCACGCAGGCTGCGGCAGCTTCACTGGCTTCTGGCTTGTCCCAGAGCGCAAGCCCCGCAGTTCTGAAGGGGGGACTTCCCCAGCCCCACTCGCCTCTCCAGCCTCCTGCCAAGCCCTTTCTTCCCGGGTCCCTCCTTCCCCGACTGACATCACCTAAGCTGATTAATAATCAGAGGCAGATGCGTGGTAACCTCCTGCATCCCCGGCAGAGGCAGAGAGACAGAGGCGCGCGCGCGCGCG